GCTGGGCAGAACAGGAAGGGTGGGACTTCCTGCCTGCCCAGCCAATTGTGGCATCGGCCTCTTAAAATGGCCGGTGCAACAGAGAGCCCCTCCCAATGTGTCGGGGGGGGGTCTTTCTGTTTGGCAGATAAGCAAGATAAGCTTTGTTCTTTCTAATATTATGTATTCCTAATAGTTATATCTTATTTTTCCATTAAAAAATAATCAAGGGAGCTAAACTAATCAGATAGCACGTTTACATCTGAGAGAGAGAATCATGCATGTTGATTTGCATAAATCAGTTAACATTTAAAATTCCATCCATGGATTAACACTGAAGTTCTGTTTACTTATAAAGTTTGGATGGAAGACAGCTAGACATGCTTTAAAAAAAAACCCTCCCATATTAGTTCAGGCAGTGAATTTGTTGCAGGTTTTACATAGCTTTAAAAGTGATATGTTCGAGGCAGATTGAGGCCCAAGCGTCATGTGACAAATTGAGTTTCCATCACTAGTCCCACCTTCTGCCAACCTAGCAGTTCAAAAACATGTAAACGTGCAAGTAGATGAATAGGTACCACTTTGGTGGGAAGGTAACAACATTCTGTGCAGTCATGCTGGCCATATAATCACAGAGTAATCTTTGACAACACTGGCTCTTTGGCTTAGTAACAGAAAGGAGCACCACCCATTACAATTGGACACAACTTGACAACTTTGTCAAGGGAAAGCCTTTATCTTTATTTTTAAGGGACTGAACCTACTTGGGGAGTAGGGTTCAACACTCTAGAGTTTTATTCTCTTAAGGCCTGGCAAAGAGTTGGCCCCTCCCCTTATCAACCTGTGGTTTGTATTACAATTTGTTGTTGTTGTGTTCCTTTAAGTCATTTCTGACTTATAATGACCCTAAGGAGAACCTAACATAGGGTTTTATTGTCAAGTTCTGGTCAGAGGAAGTTTGCCATTGTCTTCCCCTGAGGCTGAGAGAGTGTGGCTTGCCCAAGGTCACCCAGTGAGTTTCAAAGCTGAGCTGGGAATTTAACCCTGGCTTTCAGAATCATAGTCCAACACTCAAACCACTGCACTACACTAGCTCCCTTGTATTACAACATATTAGACTAATTTCTACTCATTCATTTTATCCAGAGCATTGTAAAATTAGTGAGAGTTTGAAAGGTTGTCCCTGGGCTTCAAAAGTCTCTTGTCTTTTCCAGTTCTTAATAATTTAATACAGTTTAATGATAATAATATCAAGGTAGATTTCAACTTCTTTTCTAAAGGCAGGTGGAGGATTCCTTACTCCTTGGAAAGAGGACAGGAGGTGGTCTTCTTCAATTTTTCACAATCATAGTCAGCATGTGTGATGGAGGCAGCCCCCAACCCTCCAAATTTTGAGGTATGGCTGGGAAACTGCAAAAGGGTTTTTTTTTTTGGCTGATTTTCTGGGGCAGGTTGTGTGTTTTGGGGTTATAAGGGGATGGGGTGTTGTAGGAGCAAAGCCACTGTGTTATCCTGCTTCTGGTTGTTTGGGCGAGGAGAAATGACCTGCAAAAATGTTTAATCAATTTGGTAGAGGTCTGAGGGCTTTAGGGGTCCCCTAGGGGACTTTGGGTGACACGTAATGGGAATCCAAGAATTCAAGAGGCACACCCAGACCACTCTTTCCCCACTCTTGTTTTAGGATCAGGCATCCCATTGCTCAGTCTCTGCTCATCATCTGCAATTCCAAGTGTCACTTCCCCCATTTGTCTACAGCAGGGGTAGGCAACCTTTCCCCTTTAAGGGCCGAGGGACTTCAGCTCCCAGAAGCCTCAGCCATGTTGGCCAATAGTCCCTTGTTGGCCAATAGCTCTTGGGATTCTGGGAGCTGAAGTCCCTTGGCCCTTAAAGGGGAAAGGTTGCCTACCCCTGGTCTACAGAATCCCACAGTGTTCTGCACCAGATTTGTGAGGGATACATGGGAGGCTGCTGGGGAAGGTGAGTCAACATGAGGTTACCACTTCCCTGTTCAGCCTGTGGCAAATCCTCACAAACCTTTACATTGACAAAATAAGCCATTCTGACCTACTGGAGCCTTCTATTGGATCCAAACCTTTGAGGTATGGGTGGGAAACTCCAAAGGGTTTAGAGGTCAGGACTGCATGGGAGGTGCACATCCAGTGTTTGGTTGCAGCTCTGACACCCACCTCCCAGGACTCTAACAGTGAACTGAAATCTGGGAGGGTAATGTTAGGTCTAAGGTCCTAAATACCTTAACTAGATCCCATCTGATCTTGGAAGCTAAGCAAGGTCAGCCCTGGTGAATACTTGGATGGGAGACTGCCAGTGAATATCAGGTGCTGTAGGTTATATTTCAGAGGAGAGAACTGACAATACCACCTCTGAGTAGTACTTGTGTAGGAAAACCTTTTGAAATTTGTGGGATTGCCATATATTGACTGGTGACTTGAAGGGCACATACACATACAATGTTACACATACAAGTTCTCCTCCTAGCTGCAGAACTGAAGCCAGTGACAGCAGTTCATTGATCTGTCCTCCTGTACAGAAAATATATGGATATCTCAGTGATATCATAAAGAGAATGTAACTCATGTCCTGAAGATCAATCAGCCATATCTCTTCTTTGCATCTGAAATGTCCCAAATGTCATCATTTGGAGGTGTTGACTTTGTTTCTGATCTTCACTGAAGGTTCTGAGTGAATCTCTGTTGATCTTAAAATAATGGATGAAGCAGAAAATTGGAGCGTGGGTGTTATGCATTTCCAAGGCAAGCCATTAGAGAGATATTCTTTTTTCTTTTTATTTTTTTAAAAAAACTTATTGGTTTAATACAATATGTTAAGTGCTTCCCATGCTCACTCAAATTCAAATATGCTGGGAAACTGTAGCTATTAAGAATCTCAGTAGGGACATTATTTAGGCAATATGGCTATGGAATGGTATCTTACATTGTAGTTACAGTTATAGCACAGTTAACAAAGTAGATGTGCTTCTGAACATTACTTTTTTTAACAGAAAGTTTGGTATCAGTGACAGAAATAACACGGAAATTATCAATTAATTAGAATAGGGATTCTGCAACACAAAAAAGATCACTTCAAGTTTCAGCAAACTTTTTATTTAAAATAAAACTATGTACATGTGAAGCGAGACAGTACGGTTTGGTAAGCCTTGTATAAAGTGGTCTAGTGACCACTGAGACTGTATCCTCATGGTAGAAATAATCCAGTTTGACACCACTTTAACTTCTACGACTCAAGGCTATGGAATTCTGGGAACTATAGTTCATTGTAGCACCAGAGCCATGATAATATGGATTACTTCTGCAGTAAGGATGTACCCTTAAAAGCTTCTTCCACAATGCATGCAGTGACTTCTTTTCTTTTACCAGCCTCCACTTTGTTTATGTTTTCCGTTTGAAGCTCAGACTTAGAATCTCTGCTTCTTGAAGGCAGTAGGACTAGCTGTTAAGATAGACATATCTGTTTCCCCTTTTTCTCTCTGTTTTTTTCCCCCCATGCATACACAGTGTGGGATTCTGGAGGCAGCTACTGTTTACCTTGCCTGTTGTAGGCAGAATCACACAGCTACAGTGAGATTGGCGAGAGTAGAATTCCTCTCTTTCCCAGCTCAAGCTTTATTGTACAACAATTGTCCCTCTGGATTCGCTGACTTCCTGTATGCAGTTTTGAATTTCCATGGATGGGAAGCCAGAAGGGACAAAATGGTGTGTGTGGGGTTGCGCAGCCATTAAAAACAATGGGGCTCTAATATTTGCAGTTTTCATGATTCACTGGGGGGGGGGGGGAGTCCAGAATGGATTCCCTGCGAATCAGAAGGACAACTGTATTTACTACAGACATCACATGAGCTTCTCTCCATCATAGTTTACACACACATTTCCCCCCTATTTATTATATGATTGCAACAAAAAGTATCCCCTATTATAGCATTTCATTGAAAGGCGTGTCCCAGCTGTTTTGTTTGTTTGTTTGTTTGTTTGTTTATAGAAGGAAAACTGTAAGTAGCAAGGGGTGGAATAAACGGAAATAGTTTACTAATACACAGATGACAATGGCTTAAAATAGAGTATTGGTAACTGTGCCAGAGGAGCCAATTTTTGTTTCCCATCTTGATGGGCTGTATCAGCACATTTTCAGTGACATGGAAGTGATATCACATCACTTCTGGTTTCAATTTCAGCCTATTTTTAATATGGGGTGTGGGGTGTGAGTGTGGAAGAAGTAAAAAATGCTGCATTTGGGGGCAGTTTGGATACAGTTTTGGTGGTTTCTTATCTGATTTTCAATTTTGGGGAGGAGGCTGAGAAGTTTAGGGGTTTCTGGAGGAGGTTGAGGGAGCCACAAAAAAGGGGGAATTGGTGGTTTTATGCAAATTATGGATTGCCATTTCCTAGAGGATGCCCTAGAGGAATTTCTCAGCAGGTCTACTTATGTGTAAATTCTGCAACAAAAAGTGCATCTGGAGGATGTCTTGAATAAAGTTGCTGCATCCCTCCACTCACAAATTAATCTGACAATAATATTCAAGAAGCTGCTGGTTCTCTGAGAGTTTTCTGTGGCAATGAATATGCAGTTTTTGTTGCAGGCAAGGAAAATTATAGAGGGATGCCATATCACTGTGCAAAAACTTTGACCAGGTAAATGAATAATATTCTTTGATGGAACTAAAATTGTTTAAAATGTAACTCTGTCTTGTTGGATAAATTTACAATTATGCTTAAATTAATTTCTTTGTCTGTTATGAGGTTTCTTATGGATATCTGCTGGGATAAATGAGATTTATTCTATAGTTTTTTGTGGGTTTTTCGGGCTGTGTGGCCATGTTCTAGAAGAGTTTCTTTCTGACGTTTCACCAGCATCTGTGGCTGGCATCTTCAGAGAATACTGAATATTGTATACTGTCTTCCATTCCAGTATTCTCTGAAGACGTCAGCCACAGATGTTGGCGAAACGTCAGAAAGAAACTCTTCTAGAACATGTCCACACAGCTCGAAACACCCACAAAAAACTATGGATGCAGCCATGAAAGCTTACGACTTCAGATTTATTCTAGTTGGGATATAATTATTTTGTCTTTTGACACATTCGTTTTTATTCCTTCCTCCCTATTTTACTATTCCCCCATTACTAAATGGATGTTCAGCACCAACCATCATATCAGGAATATACAATATACATTCTAGCTTATTATATCTAAACTATGGGTTAAATCCATTTACTAATCCAAATTAGAATAAATCCATTGTAATTACTGTAAGTGTTGAATTGGTAAATCAACACTCATGTAATTCCCATTGATCCAGTGGGTCTACATCACTGGGACTAGCAGTTGGATTTAGCCTGCAAACTAGATCACAAAGTATTTAATTCTTGGACATTTTTAAAAAATAATGTGACACAGTATCATGTAATGTTGTACACTGTGTACATACTGCCCTCTAGTGTTAGCTCAGCATGGGCTAGAAATGTTTTCCCCAAAAGGATACTCTCTTGTCTTTGCAAATAGAATTACATTTCTGTCTCTATATGTGCTACTGTATTAATGCAAAAACAACAACAACAACAACAACAACAACTGGATTAATTTTCACTAAATTTGGAAGGTATGTTTGGAATGATTTATAATTTAGAATATGCAATGTACACAAATCGAATACCTGACTAATTGGTTGGATTTATACCTTATCTGGACGCTTGGACTAGTTTAACATACAATATATGATGTGGAGTGGGGGAAGATAGGTAGGTCTGGTAGGAAACTGAAATAATTTGGATTGGTACCAAATTTGAAGGGCATGCACATACATGATGGTCACACTTAAAATAAATGTTGTATGGTGAATGTGAAATCCACTTTTGAGGGGCATTGATGGACTTTTTGTTTACTGATGGGCCACCCCTTTAGTTTCCTTTTAAAAGTCTGAACAAATTTGCAATGAATTCAGAGGGTATGTTTGGAATTATCTGATTTAAAATCTAGTCTATGTGACATATACAAAATCTACATTGGGGAAAGGGCCGATGGGGCACCCTACCCCTAAATCAGCCAAGTGATTTACAGCAAATG